TAAGCATGACATGGCAATAGTTTGCCATTCAAGCAGCCAAGCGGGTGTGTCCCAAAAGGCAGTTAAGCCAGGCGACGGAGTCCCAAACGGCAATTAAGTTGGCCTAAGGAGAAGGGCTTAATTGCTTTGATCCCAGAGTTCAAGGGCTTACATGCATCAATTAAAGTCTAATGGCTTAATAGTGATTCTGGGGTTAGTTCAGGGGCTTAACTTATGGTTTTGCCAAAATTAAAATAGAAACCAACAATCCAACATCCAGTTTCATGTACTAGTACTTGCTTAAAAATTTATAGTTTTAAGTTTTTAACATCTAGCTCCATGGTTAAGGGATTTTAATGAATTTTTTTAAATATAAAGATGAAAATGACTCATTTTACAAAGTTGGGGATTTTCAAGTGGCATTAAGCTAAATCCTTTTATAGGTAGACATAAAACAATAAAATATAGTACATTTCTTTTAGGTCTTACATTGGGCTTCTTGTGTTTAATTTTTTGTCATCTGGGATTAATTTGGGCTCAAGCCCTTAGGTGTTACCCTTCAAACCCACCTCGCCCCCAACCAACCACCAAAACCCTAGCCCGAAAATCATCTCCTCAGAAAACCCTAATTTCGCTTCTGTCCTATAAATACGCGTCAAAAAACTAGAGCTCTTCATGGTCTCTTCTTTTATTCAGGGCCACGGTTCCAGGTTTTCTTCTCCTCCACATAAATCTTTGTCCTGCTAATTGTTTTCGCTTTTAAATTCATGTTTCTCGGTTCTTGAAGAGTGTGGTGATGATGCAAATTTTGTGGACTAGAGTTTCTGATCCGGCTTCTTCTCCGGAAGTTGACGAACAATCCCTTGGCTGTCTGAGCACCCTTCGTGAATCTGTATTCTTCTTCCACCAAACCCAGTTTTCTTTTCTATTTAAAAATCTTGGGTCTATTGTTTTTTGAAAGTCGTTGGTGATTTGGTAAAATCCCTTTTCCCTTCTTTTGTTGTCTCTTCACCCCCATGGATTGGTGAATAACAGAGGCAGAGAAAAGGATTTTCCCAAACCACTGATTAGTTTTGGTTTTATGCATGATTTCCCCAGATTGGAATGAGGCTGATGATGATAGTTCAAATTATCTTAGCGGATTTCAGTGAGATATTTTATCAATGATCTGATTGTTACACACACTGAGGCCTTAATTTAATTAATCTTTGAATTTTGAAAAGTAAAGGGATATGTGGATGCTGTGATGAGATGAAGCACCTAAAGGTGTTTGATGGGCAGTGGATTGGACCTTCTAAAGGTCTCCCGTGAGCCCTTTATATTAACGACTTCTCCTTCCACTGAGCATTAATTCATTTATCTCTTTGCATTTTTGTTTGTTTTGTACTTGTTTTTCAAGCATATATAAATATTATTTGAAGCAAGCGTCCATTACCAATTCTGGGGGAGAAATTGTTCCTCTTGGCATAATGGCTCGGACGCAAGATTTAATTTAAATGTGGTTATCCTGATTATTGGCTCCTTTTCTTCATGCCCTTGATCCTGGAAACGCCACACACATTTGGAGAATTCAAGTTGCAAATTTAGATTTCCCAGTCTATTGTTTGTTGTCTGTCTAACGTAATTAAAACTTGTTTGTAGTAATCTCTAAGTTCTAATATTCACTCATAATTAAGATGACTTCAAACAATTTGACCATTAGAGGTGGTTAAGAATTTAAAACTTTAGTCTCAGATGTTGAGGCAATTCTTGGAAGACGTTCGAAAGTTGTATTCCATTTTTTGGAAATCTATTTGGTACCTGAAACTTAACCAAAAATTAACATTTTGTGGATGAGATGTTGTAGTTAGTGGGGAGTCAGTTGGGTTTTCCCAGGAATTTTAGCTGAATTGAGTGTTCCTCCACGGTACTTAGCATTGGGGTAAAACATAACTAAGGTTGGTTCTTGTTGGAAATCGCGTCTCTGCTGGTATATATGGGAGACCAGAAATCTGGAGGTGTTTTAGCATCAGTAGTTGATGCCACATGTCATTTTTTTTAAAACCTTGTCAAATGGTGGGGAAAATTTGTTTGGTACACTGTTGATCCTATAATCCCTCTTGGACTGCTACCTGATTGTGGTTCTTGCGTGTAATAGAGATAATGCTCACTCATAAGAGACATTAGATGTGCTGTGATTGATGGTACAGTTTCGAGCTGGTAATTGCAGCTGAAAACATTGGTACTCTGTTCTGTGGTTGGACTGGATGCTACAATTGGGCTGAGAGTTATTTTTGAAAGTGACGATAAAGAACTTGCCCAATTATGAAAGGTGCTTCAAAGCTACCATGGTAAAGTGATCCATTAGTGCAATAAATATTTAGTCTTCCTGCATTTCTTGAATCAGTTAGTGCCTATATTTCTTGAATGGCAAATTAAGTGATTGGGTGGAAAAATATGTTTCTCGGTTCATGAAGAGTGTTGTGATGATCCAATTTTTGTGGACCAGAGTTTCTAATCAGGTTTCTTTCTCTCGAAGTTGAGGAGCAAGCCCTTGGCTGCTTGAGTACCCTTCATGAATCTACTTTCAGGATTTTCCTAAACCGGGCTGAATAATTTTTTTTTTCTTGTTTTAATGAATTTTTTCTTGTTTTCCCAAGATTTGAATGAGACTCATGATGATAATTCAAATTATCTTAGCGGATTTCAGTGAGATAATATATGAATGAACTGATTGTTACAGACGCTAAACCCTTAATTTAATCTTTGGTTTTGGTTTTTGATAAATAAAGGGATTTGTGGGTGCTGTGATCAGATGAAGCACCTAAAGGTGTTTATGGGCAGTGGATGAGACCTTCTAAAGGTCTCCCGGAACAACAGAAGGCCACCACTTCAGTGTTTTCCCATTGGGTGATTGATGATGTGTAAAAAGAAAAACTGAAATGCTGTTTTTCAGTTGGTCCGGGATACCTCATCAGTGGTGTCTCCGGGATATACCAGAATTTCTCCTCCTGTGACCCTATCATTTATGACTTTCCCTTCCACGGAGCCTTAATCCGTTTATCTCTTTGCATATGTGTGTGTTGGGTTACTTTTTTAAAGCATGTGTAAATGTTATTTTTTGGTTTCCCGTCCGGTATCCGAGGCTTCGCCCCGACTAATCCAGACCCGACTCGTGTCGCGCACCTGGAAATGGTTGGTGAGTCTCCCAGCGAGGGCTGCTGCATTCACAAGGACTCGAACTCGAGACCTTGCTTAAGCTGGAACAAGCCGCTTACCACTTGATCCAACCTCTCGTTGGTGTGTAAATGTTATTTGAAGCAAGCTTCCATTACCAATTCACGGGGGAGAAATTGTTCCCCTTGGCAGGATGGCTTGGACGTAAGATTTAATTTCAATGTGGTCCTCCTTATTGTTGGCTCTTTTTCTTCGTGCGTTTTGATCCTGGAAAATCATTCACGTTTGCTTTGTTTCATGTCATTCAAGTTTTGAATTGAGATTTCTCCTTTGTCATTGAGATGCTATTTAGGCTAAATTGTGGGCTTTGCCACTTTCCTTGTGCCAAAAAAAAAAAAATTAAAAAAAATAAAAGAAGCTAAGTTGTGTTTTGTTTCTGTTCTTTGATGTTGCCACTTCCAATTGTGTAGACCCAAGTGTTACCTGACCGGGGTAAACCCATCTGTGGACCGTGAGATTGAGAATGAGAATTTGGAAGAATCGAAAGCCATTTCTTTCATAATTCAAAACCTTGCAGCGATTATGTGCGACATGTCACGGCACGAGAGTTCGGGGGCCGAAGTCGAGGGCATCATGACACGGAGTTGCAGCCACGAGCACACAGGGGGTGTGTCCAGTGTCCAAGAGGCATGCAACGCAGCGTCGCGGAGTGCAAGTGCGGACACGAGCACGGGCGCAAGTGGAGGTGCAAGCGGAAGCGTGGACGCGGGCATGCAGGACACGGGTGTCGGTGTCGCGACATGGGGTGGCGGCTACGACACATACGTATACGAGGACGCAAGTGCAAGGTGGATCGTGCAAGACGCAGCGGGCCTTGGCAACGGAGGCGTCGATACCGGGGCCGTGGCGTGAAGTTGCGGACAGGACACGTGAGGGCGTGCGTAAGCAGTCGAGGGCGACATGCGTGGGCATGCGAAAGTGTCCTGAGCCGAGACACGGGTGCATGCGCAAGCAAGCTAGGTCGAGTTGCTGGCTCGCATGGGGGTGATATGGCTTGAGGTGTTGGGACTCGCGAGCGCAAGCACGGGCACGAGCGCGAGTGCGACATGGAACACTCAAGAGGCGAGCCTTGCACGAGTTGGCAACGTCCATGCCAAGGTCATGGCATGGGGTCGCGGTTGAGCCATGCTGGAGCGCGTAGGAGCGGCCGAGGGCATCCATAATGCATGCCATGCCAGCAGCAGACAGGAGAAGCCTAGAAAATTCTAGAAGCTGTTGGGTGCGCAATGATAGTTCCAGATAGGGTTCTGGATAAGGACGTGAACAGTGCTCTGGATAAGCGCATGAACAGTACCAGACAAAGGGTCTGGATGGGCTTAATGGGCCAAGCCCAACTTGGGGTTTCTCCTAGGGCCTTGTAGATAATTCTAGAATAGGAAATTCTAGAATAATGTAGGCTTAGGAGGGAGAATGGAGAATGTTCTAGCAATTGTACATGTGAGGGGATTTGTGTGGAGTGTTCTAGAGGCTTACCTGCAGAGGGCTCTTGGGCTGAACTCTTTTATAAATAGAGGTGGCCTGAGTAGAAAAGGCAGATAGCCAGAGGAGAGTGAGTGAGCTACTAGGTGAATGAGTGCAGAGAGGGGCTTTGTACTCATGCTTTTGTACACTCCCTTGTGATCTTAATAAATTCTCTTCTTCTCCCAACTTCCTACCTTCATTTGTGTGTTGCTAACCTCAAGCCCAGTTAGAGGGCCACGCCAGTGTTGGGAAAGGCTGACTTGGTTTGAGTTTAACGGGGTTAATTGCAAGCTAAGTGCCGCATGAGGTTGAGCTAGATTCCACCTTCGAGACAAGCGCCATCGAAGCTAGTCTGACCCCGTGACAAATAGTTGCTAAATAGCTTGCAGCGATGATCCCCTTTTCTCTTATTCTCTCTTACAAATTACAACTTACAAATTTGAGCTTCATTTAGTATAATTGTAATTTTGAATTTTTTTGTTTTAATTTTCAAATTTTAAATAAAAAACTCAAATCTATAACCATATTAAATGGAACTTTAGATTCTCTCCTAGTTTTGGTTTTGAGTTTTGAATTTTTATTATTTATTATTTATTATTTTTATTGACAAATTTTTTTTATATATTTAGTAATTATTATTATATTTAAAAGTTAAAATTTATTAAAAAAATTTAAATTTATTAAATTTAATTTAAATATAGTACTAGTTATTAAATATATAAAAAAAATAAAAACTAAAAAAGCCTTAATTAATTACAGGATTAGGAAAGTCCATCTGCCCAAGCATTTTGAGGTGGTTAGGGTCGCCAAGGAAGTGGTGCAGTATGTAGATGCATATGACATTGAAAAAACTTCGTAAGGGAAATCAGTCAATGTATTCTTTTCTCGTTCTGGATTATTCTTGCATTTAGGTGGCAGCTGATTGTGGGTTGAGGCCAAATCGACAAGGTAGAAGTTTTAAGGATTTTTTGCTTTGAATGGTTAGGATGTCTCTGAGTCTAGTCAATTTTTACTAAGACTATCAACTATTGGGCAATCTTAAGGGGCATCTCTATTTTTTTTTTTTTTTTTAGCATGAAGGGGTATCTCTAAATTGGTTTGATATATTCAAAATAATTAATTTATTTAGTACTGGCACTAAGATTTAAACTTTGAATTTAGTGTACAAAACAAAACATTTTAGTGAATCCAACTATTGAGGTTGGTTGAGAGAAGTTCTGGGTTTGGCTTGTTTATGATTTATTTAGTGTTGGATTATTATTTTGGATTGTGTTTGAGGTCGCCTTTTTACTGTGTTTTTTTTCTCACAACATGTAAAAAAATATTAATTTATGATGATTAAATTAATTTTAATTAATATTTTATATAATTTTATAATCATATTAATATATGACTTTTTTTTTTAAATACTCATCCAACAAAAACATAATTAATTTTTCTTATAACTAAATATTGAAAGGTCCATAGGTATAATATTTCACAACAATTCCAAATACAACCTTAGTAATGAAAAATTTATTATTAGAGATGGGTATTCCAAGTCACTAATAATTTCCAAAAATATGTTACTCTATGAGAATAATAAAAACTAAATTAAGAATTCAACGAGAATTTATAATTTTATTTATATTATCATTGAAAAAAGAAAAAGAAAAACTAGAATGTCCTTAATCACAATTATTAAATATAAACACTAATTTTATTAAATTTATTATGTGGTTATTATTCAATATTATAAAATTTTAAATGTTACGAGGTTGTGATTTTTTTCTTAAAAAAGAAATAAAGATAAATAAATATATTTTATGATAGGATTAATAATAGATCAAAAAATAATGATAATAGCGTTTAAACAAAAAAAAAAAATTGTCATAAGACCTAAGTTAAAAAAACTACACTATTTTTATGGGAGGAAGAGTCTATCTTATTTTAATTTTAATTATATCTTAACTATAAATTTGTTATACTTTTACTATCTTAACTATGAATTTAAATTTGTTTCAAATTAATTGTTATTATTTTATTTTTTAAAATAAGGATAGATGACATGAGATTACATGCTTTGCTTCATTAATGATGAGGGCTGATTTGCATTTTCAAAGGATTTAGGAGTTAATTTGCATTATTTAATTATTTTGAGGGTTTACTTACAACGTTTTTAGTTTTAGAGCTCATATATTAATTTGGGATAAATCTCGGGGCATTTTTTTAATAGAGAAAGATAATGTACACGTGTCATCAAATAATTCCTCACTGTTAATCTTCTCTCTTAGATCAGTTCCATGGTATCACCCCTCTGCAGAAGCCTTTCGTAATTCGTACCTCAAAGCCTCTCTCCTAAGTTAACATTCGGAGCCACTTTCTTCCTCTTCTTTTACTCCTTAGTTCATACCTATACACGAAGATCTCCATTCCTCTACTACGATTCTTTCAAAAATCGAGTAAGTCAGATTGCTAGTTGTTTCTTTTTTCTTTTTCACCCGTTCTTTTCTTTTTTGATTTTCGGTATTTTATGGTTTGTTTGGTATGTAATCACTATGCAAATTTGCTGGGAAAAATGACGATTTTGGCATTAGGAAAGCTTGAATTTTTGTGGGTATGGTTTCTTTTTGCTGCTTAGGTATGTAGTAATATCTAAATTGCGTGGATAGTCAGTAGAATTTGTACTTGGTAATTGATTCTTTGAATCGTGTGAGTTACAACTGTTATGTACACTTTCAAGTTTTTCCATATTTTCTTCTATATTTTTCATCTATTATTTCCTTCTTTATTTGTTTTTGGTTTTTATGTTTAATTTGGTATGTGATTAATTGTTAAATTTCCTGGCAAAAATGGTGACTTAGGCACTAGGATGGTTTGAATTTTTCTGGGCTTGGTTTTTTTTTTTTTTTTTTCTTTGAGCTGTTTTAGTATTTGCTAATAGAATTTATTGTTGGTAATTCGTTTTGGGTTTTGTATAAATGTCTTATTTCCTATTGACTAATTTAGTAGGATGTTTCCTGTTGGTCAATTGGAAATGAAATGTTTCTTGGTTAGTGCTTGGATATTATATGCTCATTTAGTTCCTGAATTATAGAAAAATTTTACTTTGTTCTTGCTGTTAAAGAAATGATTATGGTTCTGTTTGAGATTGTTTGGCTGTCAGAAAAAGCTATTTCAATGTTTGCCGTTTGGTAACTATTTTCAAAAGTGCATTGGACCTGCCATGGGCAATTTTAATATATGATAATCATAATGAAAGTGTTGGTGGATATTTGAAATCGTATTAATATTTCTAATGCTTTTTTTGAAAGTTGCAACTTTTTTAATGAGAAAAGATACTTTATGAGTAAGTAATGCCTTAAAATTAAATTTTACCAAACACGGAAATACCCAAATGTACCATGCGGTTGCAAGGAAAAGTATTGTGAAAACAACCCAAATGATACCTATATAACTGTTCTTAGTTTATTGGTCCTTGAAGTAAATATTTGGTGTGAGAATTGATCATTCTTTGTTGTTTCAATCACTCTAAATTATTTGTTAAGAACATTAAAACAGGGGAAGCTGAGTAGTGGAACTGAAAGAATGGAATATTATTCTATGTTATTGAGTTATGAAAAAAGTACACAGGGAGCCCTTACATATAGGCTTTAAGGTATAGAAAATATATTAGCATATACCCTATTACATTATTTAGAAAAACTCCTAAATACAATGTACTATAATTAAATATCTTAGCATATTTCCTATTACCATAATTAAATCAATAATTATACACTGAATTCATGTTGTTAATTTGGTATGTAATTAATTTGCAAATTTGCAGGGAAAAATGGTGCTTTTTGGTATTAGAGAGGTTCAGATTTTATGGCTTGGTTTCTTTGCAATTTTGGATATTAATTAATAAAAATTCATGGACATTAAAGAGAATTTGAATTTGCTGCCTGATTATGAAGATTTTAGGAAGTAAAGAATTGTTATCATGGTAATCAATTTTATTCTTAGTTTCTTTTCTGGATTTTGCGTGCATGTTTTAACTGCTTTCTCTTAATTCAGTATGATTTTAAAGTTTATGTTTATGTATATTGTCCTTGTGGTTGAATTGAGAAAAACTTGTGTTCTTGCTGGTGCCTGTTAGAACAATGGTTGCCAGTATTTTTAGTTTGTTGACTCTTGGTAGTTGAGATGAATATTTTTGTGTGGGAATTGGGGATTTTTGATATTATAACCACTGAAAATAAAGTTGAGTGTTTCAAGAATTAATTTACATTTTACTCTGATATTTAGATATGTCCAATGTTTTAAATAATTCAATTGTTGGTTTATGGCAGTGGATTCAGATGAGGGGGCTGGAGCAGTAGAGAGCTCAGTTGGGAGGGAGTTAGTCTCTGTCCCATGTGAAGGAGATTCAATTATAGAACCATATGAGGGCATGGAGTTTGAATCTGAAGATGCTGCCAAGATATTCTATGATGAATATGCACGTCGTGTAGGTTTTGTCATGCGTGTGATGTCTTGTCGCCGCTCTGAGAGAGATGGGAGGATTCTTGCTCGTCGTCTTGGATGCAATAAAGAGGGTCATTGTGTTAGCATTCGAGGTAAATTTGGACCTATCAGAAAGCCACGACCAAGCACGAGGGAAGGCTGTAAGGCAATGATTCATATAAAGTTTGATAAGTCTGGAAAGTGGGTGATAACAAGATTTGTTAAGGATCATAATCATCCACTTGTAGTGTCTGCACGGGAGGCTCGTCAAACAATGGTGAGTTCCTGATTGCTTATTCCACCTTTGTGTCATCCATAATTGTGTTTTCCCAATGCCATGCTCTTTAATTTTTTGAAAGATTATCTAAGTTACGGATGCTGTGCTTAAAGTTCAATATCTTGTTGAAGTTTTTTGGATTCACTTTCTCTAGCTGTGGGGTTTGTTTTATTTCAAGAAATTTAAGGGGTAATTTTTCTCTCAAGTTTGCTCATATTTGTCAGCT